TCCCTCCCAGAGCTGGGGATAGAGCCCAGCTCCACCTTGCAATCTCCTTGCCCACTTTTTCATTGGGGCAGGTGACGAAGGCAGCTGACAGGCTCCCTGGGGTATAGGCTTCAGCCGCCATGGAGAAGAGACGCTGATACACGGTTCGGAGCAGTAGCACCATCAACAGGGACAGCAACAGCACCTATGGCCAAGAGACAGTGAGAGTAAGGGCCAGACCTGGGGGACTGCAGGGACTTGGGTGGGGGTCTCGCTGAGGGCACCCTCCCCTCGCAGTCAGTACTGGCCCCAGGTTAGCACTAGGAGGTGTGTTACTGCGTCGCCAGTGTAAACAGCCGCTGAACCCCCCGAGAGGCGGCTGCATCTCAGCGCCGGGCGAGGCATAGCCCCATAGGTGGTCGGCAGCAGTCAGGCTTTTACTCACGCAGCAGGCAGCTTTCATCGGCGCGTGTCGCTGCTACCGCCCCTGCGGGACTCCGCCCAAGGGACTGGGACCAGCCCTGCAAGGGCAAACAGCCAACTGAGCCGGCTCCCCTGCCCCGCTCCCCTAGGGCCAGGCCTCCCTGCGAGGGGAGAGCAGCCCCCGCAAGGCCTGGGGCAGCGGGGCACTGCGCTGGCGCGAACCCACGCTGCACCTCCTACCTGCCCGCGCGGCTCTGCTGCTGCAATCGGCGCTGGACCCGCCCCTCCCCCTTCACGTGACCCAGGACAGCAGCATGCTGCTGCCGCAAACCCGCCCCCTTGAGTCACGCGACTATGTCCCGCCCCCCTCACCATGTGCCTCCCCTCTCCTATAGCATCAGGGAGGATCCGTCCCCGGACGGGGGCTCTTAATCCTAACTGCATCCCCCTGTTCTCCCCCAGTGCCCCTCAATCCTGACTGCAGACCCCTGTTCTCCCAGCATCCCCCCTGGGCTCCCTCAATAGCTCCCCCAGTGCCCCTCAATCCTGACTGCAACCCACTGCTCTCCCAGCCCTGGGCTCCCTCAATAGCTCTCCCAGTGCCCCTCAATCCTGACTGCAGCCCACTGCTCTCCCAGCCCTGGGCTCCCTCAATAGCTCTCCCCGCGCCCCTCAATCCTGACTGCAGCCCACTGCTCTCCCAGCCCTGGGCTCCCTTGATAGCTCTCCCAGTGCCCCTCAATCCTGACTGCAGTCCCCTGCTCTCCCAAACCCTGGGTTCCCTCCTGCTGCAGCTCTGCCAGTGCCCCTCACTCCTGACCCACAGCCCCCTGCTACCCAGTCCTGCCCCCCCCCCAGCTCTGTCAGTGTCCCTCAATCCGGACATGCAGCCCTCTCACTATTCCCTAATCAAATAGTTTTTCCTCTCAGTTCCAGGGGCTGGATGCTTAAGTGATCAGGGAACTCCCAGCTGGGCCATTGCTAAGTGGAGAGAGAGCAGTGACCCAGGTCCAGCTGCTGTTCCACTTGTCCTGGATCCAAGCCCACCCTACTCTATCCATCCCACTAGATCCCACTCCAAACCAAACTGGGACAGTCTCCAGGTTCCTGACCCCATCCCCTTGCTATAATGCTACTTCCCCTGACACCACATCCAGCACCCCAGCCCTGGGAAGTCCTGATCCCTGCCCCTCACACCAGATCTAGCACCCCCACCCCCTCAGCACTCCAGAGACACACCCTGCCAGTGCTCCAGCTCTCCTTGATAGGGGTCCAAGCTGTTACATTTTGGGAAGGACTTGTGGCAGGGTAAGCTCATCCCCATAGCATCTCCTTATGGGGCACCAGGCCACATCCCACAGGTTTGTGGTTAACAGTGCCCAGGGTCTGCCCCTCCCCAGAGGCTGCTTGGAGCTGGGATGGGAACGGGAACCCCTGTGTCCGGGCACGGCCTGCCCCCAGCATCAGGGTGAGGGGCCAGAATGAGCTGCTGCAGGGGGATGAGTCTAGGGCTCATTAGCAACATACCCATCCAAACACAGACACTCCTAGTACACAACACAACCCTAGTGCCCCCTAAATCACCAAAGGACACATCCAAACAGGGGCTGGGGGAGGAACAATTGTACCAGGGCCTGAGCTCAGGAGGCCCACCCAAAAAAAACCATCTGTAACTGGGATGTTACATAGGGGAGATTCGCCCTTGTTATGTTGTATGTAAGCCTATGTGAGTCTTACTGTTTTGCACGAATGCTGTGTGTGCCTCAGTTTCCCTGTCTATTATGTCTAGGTGGTGGGAATAAGCTTGTGTGACTTTTGCAGCAGTTGCTCCTGCATGGATGCTATGGCCACCCCTTCGTAACCTGAGACCCAGGAGAGGGGGATGCGAGACAAAGGCCGGAGGAGGAGCGGGGCCAGGCAGCTGGAAGTGAGTCAGTCTCGGCTGGCTTGGGGCGCAGCGGGAGGACCAGAGCTCTGGCTCTGGGCTCCCCTCCCACCAAGATGGACTTGGCTGAAAGTCACTTATTTCTCTGCTGACAAGTTCTGTTCTACACTGTGATCCTGTCGACTAATAAACCTTCTGTTTTACCGGATGGCTGAGAGTCACTGCTGACTGTGGAGCTGGGGTGCAGGACCCTCTGGCTCCCCCAAGAGCCCCGCCCAGGTGGACTCGCTGTGGGAAGAGCACGGAGGGGCAGGGGATGCTGAATGCTCTGAGGTCAGACCCAGGAAGGTCAAAGCTGTGTAAGCTTCTTGCCCTGGAGACATGCTCAGAGAAAACAACGAGGAGTCCTTGTGGCATCTTAGAGACTAACAAATTTATTTGGGCATAAGCTTTCATGGGGTAAAACCCACTTCATCAGATGCATGGAGTGAAAAATACAGTAAGCAGTATAAATATTACAGCACATGAAAAGATGTGAGTTGCCTTACCAAGTGGGGGGTCAGTGCTAACGAGGCCAATTCAATTAAGGTGGAAGTGGCCTATTCTCAACAGTTGACAAGAAGGGGGTGAATATCAAGGGAAGGAAAATTACTTTTGTAGTGCTAACGAGGCCAATGCAATCAAGGCGGATGTCGCCTATTTCCAACAGTTGACAAGAAGGTGTGAGTATCAGCAGGGAGAAAATTACATTTTTTAGTGACCCATCCACTCCCAGTCTTTATTCAGGCTTAATTTGATGGCGTCCAGTTTGCAAATTAATTCCAGTTCTGCGGTTTCTTGTTGGAGTCTGTATTTGAAGTTTTTTTGTTTAAGAATTGCCCCTTTTAAGTCTGTTATTGAGTGTCCAGGGAGATTGAAGTGTTCTCCTACTGGTTTTTGAATGTTATAATTCTTGATGTCTGATTTATGTCCATTTATTCTTTTGCGTAGAGACTGTCCGGTTTGGCCAATGTACATGGCAGAGGGGCATTGCTGGCACATGATGGCATATATCACATTGGTAGATGTGCAGGTGAACGAGCCCCTGATGGTGTAGCTCAATGGTTCTCAAACTTTTGTACTGGTGACCCCTTTCACATAGCAAGCCTCTGCGTGCGACCCCCCCCCTTATAAATTAAAAACACTTTTAAATATATTTAATACCATCATAAATGCTGGAGGCAAAGCAGGGTTTGGGGTGGAGGCCGACAGCTTGTGACCCCACATGTAATAACCTCACAACCCCCTGTGGGGTCCCAACCCCCAGTTTGAGAACCCCTGGTGTAGCTGATGTGGTTAGCTCCTATGATGGTGTCCCTTGAATAGATATGGAGACGGAGTTGGCAACGGGCTTTGTTGCAAGGATAGGTTTCTGGGTTAGTGTTTTTGTTGTGTGGTGTGTAGTTGCTGGTGAGTATTTGCTTCAGGTTGGGGGGGTTGTCTGTAAGCGAGGACTGGCCTATCTCCCAAGGTCTGTGAGAGTGAGGGATCGTCCTTCAGGATAGGTTGTAGATCCTTGATGATGCGCTGGAGAGGTTTTAGTTGCGGGCTGTAGGTGACGGCTAGTGACGTTCTGTTACTTTCTTTGTTGGGCCTGTCCTGTAGTAGGTGACTTCTGGGTACCCTTCTGGCTCTGTCAATCTGTTTCTTCACTTCACCAGGTGGGTACTGTAGTTTTAAGAACACTTGGTAGAGATCCTGTTGGTGTTTGTCTCTGTCTGAGGGATTGGAGCAAATGCGGTTGTATCTTAGAGCTTGGCTGTAGACAATGGATTGTGTGATGTGGTCTGGATGAAAGCTGGAGGCATGTAAGTAAGTATAACCTCTAAGTATATCCTCTAAGGATAGAACCAGAAGCAATGGGTTTAAACTGCAGCAAGGGAGGTCTAGGTTGGACATTAGGAAAAAGTTCCTAACTGTCAGGGTGGTTAAACACTGGAATAAATTGCCTA